AAATATTGAAGTCCTTTGAAGGTTCCAAAACAACTTGTTAGAAAATAAAATGACAAAGAAAACTTTGTTTTGGATATTTGTTACTAAAAAAACTATTATTTATTATGATAAACAATTATTTAAATGGATTTCAAGATTTGCACCAAATACCACACAAGCTATTTGTTTTTGGTGATCAAAAACATGTAAAATATTTAGATTAGTTTTAAATGCACATCGTATAAAGATTGAAATCAATCTCTTTTTGAAAAAACATGGTATTTTTGTTTTTTATTTTAAAATCCATTAAAGTTTCAATTCAGATAATGTTAATTGTGAATTTTGTATAGTGACATGTAATTTAAGCACAAACTATATATTTTATGAGTTCAAACATACAAATAAGTAGTGGCACCTAAATTAAAACACAATATGATTAAAGTTTTTGTTTCATGTTGTTTCTGTACTCATATACTGTATAGCTTATCTATTAAAGTTTTTTTGTTTTGTAGTTAACAACATGAACATTTTTATAAAATATAATTAATCGTTGTAAAGCTGTATATATGTAAATAAAATTTTGCTCAGTGTCAAAATCATGCACTGTCTAGTTTGCTTTCTAAAATTACCTGTACTGCAGCATTTGGCGAAACTCGATAAGTTACTATTCTTGTTTTATCTCACTAAAATGCAAAGTAAAAAAAAATTAGCAAACTATTTTTTAAATTTTATAATATTATTTTATAATTTTATTAAAAACTACTATTTCCTTGGCATAAATTGAATCTACTGAAGACTCAAAGTAAGCTAGTTTCCGAATATTCTCATTCCCCGAAAACCGTCATTCTTCAAAATATTCCAAGAAAAAGAATGTTTAAATATATATATATATATATATATATATATATATATATATATATATATATATATATATATATATATATATATATATATATATATATATATATATATATATATATATATATATATATATATATATATATATATATATATATATATATATATATATATATATATATATATATATATATATATATATATATATATATATTAATTACTTAATCAATTTGATATAACTTAAACTAAAAAATTAAACTTATTAACTTACGCTAACATTTTGACAGGCAGAGGGGACATTTCTTTAGCCCATAAAGTTTCTGTTTCAGTTAATAAATATTTCAGTTAATAAATATAAACAAAAATTAAAATATTACAAAAAGTAAAAAGGAAATAGTAACAAAAATGTTTTTTATTTATAATTTGATTTTAAACAATAAAAATATACTTTTATTTAAACTAGTTTTTAAATACAATAATAACTTAAATACAATAATAACTAAAATATATATATATATATTATAAATCCTTTTTGGCTAACTGATGATTATACTTTTATCAAGTGTTTTATGAAAAACTAAAAAAAATAAACATTTAAGTTACAAACTAAACCTTTTCTTTTAGACAAAAGTCATCTATAACTTATAAGTTATATACATCTTTTATAATACTACTTATTTAACTTCTATTTAACTAACTATTAATTTCTACAAAAAAACTATTCTAATACATATTTTATACTGTACTAAAATATTTATAAAAATTAAAACTTACTTTGAATATTCATGGTTAACTGATTAGAAACGAAAAAATTATTACAGTCTTTATTTGACCTTAAATATACTAATATTATAAATAAATAAATAATAATAAAGTAGAATATAGTAAATCAAAAAATCGAAATTAAGTTGACACATTAAAAAATTATTCAATGTACACAGAAAAACTAAGTTATTATTCAAATTTTATTTATGTTTATTATTCTTAATTTTATACTTAAAATTTAACTTAAACTTAATTTAGTAGATTGTTTTAACTTAGTAGATTGTTTTAATTTAGTAGATTGTTTTAATCAAATTTTTAATTAAGCAGATTGCTAAGTAGTCTTATTTAGCTTTTCAATTTTTTAAAATTTTTAGTTTGCCTATTTGCTTACAATAAAAAATGTTTGTAGAAGATTAAAATAAAAACTTAAAAACTTATTTTCTAATATTTCTTTATGTTAATAAGACTATCTCAGTTAGAAAACAAACACACGTTGAGTTAAAAGTCTATAACTCAACTTAAACAAACATGTAAAATGACACTAGAACTAAAATATAGAATTAAACAATCTTGTTTGATAAACCAATATTTTGAATAACCACGTCTTCAGAACGCTCTCTTATAAGTTTAGAATAGCCTAGTAACTAATTAAAACTACTTTAAAAACGAAAACGAAACAACGCACAACATTGAACGATGAATTTAGCAATTATTTATTGATTAGTAAGAATTTTCTTTTAATTCTTGTTCAGTTTTAATATGTTAATGTTGTTTTTTTATGGCAGTGTATTAAACAATTTTTATATTTTAACTAATTAAAATGAAATCTTAGATTTGTCATTTCTTAACGTAAGCTTTATATTCTGTAACGATCGTCTTTTTGTTGCTGTTCAAAAATATCTAAAATAATTTGCATGAGAAGGGTGGGATAATCTTATCTTTTTTTTAACTGTATCTGACTTTTAGTAAGAAAAAGCAATGTAAAGGTACCTTTGTTATAAAAAAAGCTATCTTAAAACCATGAATCGACATCCTACTAAAGAAACTTAAGAAAAATCTGTTACTTAAAATACTATTAATGTGTCTGGTAAACCTTTTTTAAAGATGTCTATACAGACCCACATTACCCTATTAGCGGAATAATGTGAGACTGCATAAAAATTGGTTACTTCTGCTTTAAATTGCTGTTGCTTATGAGAAATCTGTCATACATAATTTACATAACCTTTCCAAAGTATATATATAAGTTTTCAATTTAAAAAGTACCCATAGGATATGTTTTATTAAAAAAGAAATTACATACAAATACAGCACTGTAATAAATATGAAAACTCTAAAAAATGGAAATAAAAAACTGTGATTTATTAAAATTTTGATTATGTTTTACATAAAAACTAAATTTTCAATATTTTATTTTTATGGTAACATTCATGCCATTTTGGGCATTTCTTTGATTGTTTTTTTGAATACTTCAGTAGAATTAATGACTTTTTTGCATTTTCTTTTACATCGGTTTTTTTCTTATTTAGGTTATTATTTTATTATTTATTTAGTAATCGTCGCTTGAACTTTTTATTTATAAGAAGTTCTCCGCATTTGCTTTGTACCCGCTTCCTTTTTTTCGTTTTTGTTGTTGTTTTATTGCTGCTGTTTCCGCAAATACATTAGGACATATGATTGATCTTAAAGCTTCTTGCATAGCAGATTTTGGTAATAGTACCATAAAATTCAGCATTAGCTTTTGATGAAGAGAGTCTCTAACACAATTGATTCAATATTCCTGAGAAAGCTGTCTTACTAATATTTCTATTTTGTGTTTCTTGTGCAAACTACTGTAAAATTTTTCTCCACTCATTCTTTAATAGTTCTAAGACAGACATATCTATTTGTTTTAAATGACTATCATGGTCATCATAGATCAAGAGTATTAGTTATTGATCATGGTCATCAAATGGTAAAAAGGTCTCCACAAACCTAAAAAAAGATTTTTTTTACTTCAATTTATTCATTTGAAATTATTAAAAATACAAAAAAGCCTGTTAAGTGTAAATACATAAAATGAAAAATATTATGAATTAAAAAAAAGTTGTAAAGCAGATAATATAAATTCAAGTAAAATACCAGTTTTCAAAGAGGTAGTCTTGCCTCTATTCACTTGCTGTTGCTTTAAAAGCACACCCTGGTGGTCCATGTTCTACCCATTTAAAATACACATGACTTTTTCCTATAAAAACAACAAATGATGGTAGATATCTTTCTTCTGTAGACAATTAGATTGGCACAGAGTGCATAGTTTTACCAGAAAAAACAGTTAGTTAAAAAAATTTTCTTGTTATTTAATTTGTAGAGAGGCCAGTTTTATCAACATTAGTATTCTAATTAGTTCAATGTTATTATCAATTTATTTACAATTTCATGTGTTAAAGTTTTAGCTCTGGAAAATATATGAATTTTAGGTTTACGTAACCGCAATTTATTAACATGACGCTTCATAGAAAAAATTATTTAATCTTTCCCAGAAACTCTATTTTTAAAAGGAGGGAGCTACAGTCATATTTTCAACATTATCACTAAGCACTCCCTTTTTAACTTCAGATTTATTGGATTAAATTCTTTTTTTTTATTCTTCGTCTCAATGTTTTTTTTTTAAACAGACGATCTTTATCACCATGATAACTTTTTTTCATACTAATGAAATAGATACATACTAATAAAATAGCTGCCTTCATACTATCAGCATTGTTATGGGGTTTCATTTTTTTATAGAAACTTTTTGCCATTTTCAAAATTTTTCAAAAGTAGTGTTTATATTTTGAGCCAAATAAATTTACATATATTATAATATATCCCAATATAAATTTTTATAAAACCAGGTAAAATTATTTAAAATTTTATTTTACCTAGGTGAACGCATTGTTTCATACAAATATGTACACATGTTTGTTGATTAGTTATAAGAAATGAATTTAAAAAATAAAGGTTTAAAATTACTTGAACTAATACAAACATATAAACAGTTAGGCTTGATGAAACTAATAGCTTTAAAGGGTTAACTACAAAAACTAGAATATATAAAGATAAATTTAATATTTTACAGAGAAAAACAAACATTACTCCTCTTGAATATATTTTAAATTTTAAACAAATCACATGCATCAGTGTCTTAAAGCTTTAATATCATGAAGCTATAATATTAGAGCTTTCATAATGACCATTTTTGTATGCTTGTGCCTTGTTTGAATGTACTTTCTCAAAAGTTTAAAAACAGTGAAAAAAATGAATGTGTTAATGTATTTTAGCTGAAAAAGTGCAGTTTTTAACGGCGTAGCTGGGTTATATTTTAAAATTATCAAGATTATATATTGATGATGTTAGTAAAATGCAACTTTTTCAAATCAATATTTACTGTATTTTGCCTCGTTTATGTCACTAAAGTCGAAGGTAAGATTTATCTTTAGTCTATTTCACGCTTATATATATACATATATATATATATATATATATATATATATATATATATATATATATATATATATATATATATATATAAATATATGTATATATATATATATATATATATATATATATATATATATATATATATATATATATACATATATATATATATCATATATATATATATATATATATATATATATATATATATATATATATATATATATATTATATATATATTTATATATATATATATATATATATATATATATATATATATATATATATATATAATATATATATATATATATATATATATATGTACATATATATATATATATATATATATATATATATATATATATATATATATATATATATATATATGTATATATATATATATATATATATATGTATTCTTTGTAATGTGCTTATTTCTCTTAGATTTTATAGTATAAATATGAATTAAGATTTAATATGTAATATATTCTTATTTTAATTTAATAACATCTTTAATAAAAAATGACCAAATCGGTTTTCTTAGAAAAAGATTTAATCATAAACCGAAGCCAGAGAAAAAAAATATTTTACATAAATGTTTTCTCTAATAATTACAATCATAAATTTTTTTTCTTTTCTACCCTGTGATTATGGCTCAGTAAAGATAGTTTTAAATTAATTTTAGAACAGGTGATTTTATTTGTGTGCTCTCTAACTGGAAAATAGTGAAACTTTTATTTGTCATTTGAGCAAAAACTCCTTTTATCGTTACTTAATAAAGTTCAATGCTTGACGATGTCTTTTCTCCAGTTAACTTTAAACATGCTGAAAACCTTTGTAGTCTGAATTTTTCCGTACTGAATATTTCATACAAAGAGAAAAAAAAGCGTAAAAGCTGCATTTTCTTTTCTTTTTCTTCCTTTTTTTTTTTTGTTCTTCATTACATTTTAAACAAAATTTCGTATATATATAAATATATATATATATATATATATATATATATATATATAATATATATATATATATATATATATATATATATATATATATATATATATATATATATATATATATATATATATATGTATATATATATATATATATATAAATATATACATACAAAAGAACGTATGAGATTATTCGATCTTCTTCATTATATTTATAACAACCAAACACTTGACTGTAAGACACCAGAAAAACCAGAGTTCTTTCTTTTGTTTAGTTATTGTAAAGGTTTTTTGGTTAACCAAGAAAGCACTCGTTTCTTTTGTTTTAAAGTAATAAAAAAAAAAGAAATTATTTGCAGAATATACTTTAGATATTGTAGAAAACCTGGTTACTTTGTTTGATGTCTATGTTTTTAAATAGTGTTTACCACCTCTGTTTGGAAATAAATTGTTAAACTGAATATAATTTCTTTTATTATAAATAAACTTCGAATTAGTAAAACATTTAAAGTTGTTGTTGTCATTTGATAACTGATAATGCCAGAATTGAGTACAGTGATAAACTGCTTCCTAATGGATCAACAACAACCTCATTTGAACGTTAGATTGCGTCGCTGATTAATAAGGCAAGTGTATTTTTTAAATACCTAAAGACCCATAAGTGTATTTTTTAAAGACCCAAAGACCCATAAGTTGCAACGTTTTTATCGCCGTCAGAAACATGCTATCCGTTTAATCTACTTTGCAAATCGCCTTTCTCACGCAAAACATTATTTTATTGAAATGAGAATTTTAAATATATACGAGCTAAATATATATATAATGTTTTATGCTATGTATACATTTGGAAAAGTGACTTGTCTCAATCTGTCTTCAAAGATATTTTTACTCCGAAACCCATCAACAAATACAATTTGAGAAATACTGATTTTTTAAATGAATCTTTCTGTCCAACGAATTTTATTCAATTTTATATTGTCTATCGGGCACCACACCTTTGGAATAAAATTGTTTTGCCCAATTTTGATTTCGAACTACCCATTACTTTTCGTTTTTTTAAAAGTAAATTAAAAACCCTAATTTTTTCATTAGAAGACGTATTATGTTATTATTAATAATACAAATTAATAACTTTGCCTTTTCTTATTTATATTTGTAAAAAGTTTATTCTTACTTACTTTGTTGATTTTATATTCTTTACTTCACCTATACGTTTATATAAAATATTGGTAAGTAGATCCGCGTGATCTCTCTTTGGATTATAAAATATATATTTGGATTATATATATATGAAATTTGTAAAAATTTGATACACTTAATGCTTGTTTGAACTTGTTTAAGGTTCTGATCCTTTGATCTTCTTTCAGATACCTTATCTTATATTTGTGAAAGTTTATTATTATTATCATTATTTTTATTTTAATTTTTTTTTGGCAATATATAGTTGTAATACGACCAACAAATGTAAAATTAAAAAGTAAAAAAAAAAAAAAAA